GGGTTCAGGGGTTTAGGGTTTAGGATTTAGGGTTTAGGGTTGAGGGTTTAGGGTTTGGGTGTTTTAGGGTTTAGGGTTTAGGGCGTTTTAGGGATTAGGGTTTAGGGCGTTTTAGGGTTTAGGGTTTAGGGTGTTTTAGGGTTTTTTGTTGGCTTTTGGGCTTTAGGGTCTAGGGATTGGGGGGTTTAAGGGTTCTTGGGGGTGTTTTAGGGTTAGGGTGTTTTAGGCTTCTGTTGGGGTGTTGGGCCCTGAACCCTATAGGTTGAGGGTTGAGGGTTGAGGGGGTTGAGGGTTGAGGGTTGAGAGTGTTGAGGGTTGAGGGGTTGGGATTTAAGATTTCGGATTACCGTTGTTGTGGCTCTCTCTCTCTCTCTCTCTGTGCCCCTTACCGGTATCGCCCCAAGCCCTGATTAAGCCCAAGCTACCCGAAACAGGGTTTCGGGTTTCGGGTTTAGGGTTTTGGGTTTCGGGTTTAGGGTTTAGGGTTTAGGGGTTCAGGGCTTGGGGCTTAAGGGGCTTGAGGGCCCGGCAAAGGTTCCCGGCTTAAGGGGAGCTTTCCGAAATTAGGGGGTACCTTCTTGGGGGGTCCTTATGTTAAGGGAATCCTACTATTGGGGGGGACTATTTTAGGGGTCCCCTATTTTCGTAAGCTTCCAAGGGTGTTCCGGAGTCGGAATGCAGGGTTCAGGGTTAAGGGCGTTTAGGTTTAGGGCTAGGGTAGGGTCCTAAGCCCTAAGCCCTAAACCCTAAACCCCAAACCCTGAAACCTAAACCCTCGAACGTGCCGCCTGCTCCTCGGCGGCTGCGGAGGCAGCCACCGCGTCCTGGGCGTCCTCTGGGCGCCTGGCTGCGTCTCAAAACGACCCATACCACGCAAGGACCCTGTAAACCCCGTAAGCCCGATAAACCCTATGAGCCCTATGAACCCTATAAACCCAAAAAAGTCTTATAAAACCTGTAAACCCTATTTACCCTATAAACCCTAAATCCTAGACCCTGAACGCTAAACCCTAAACCCTGAACCCTAGACCCTTAACCCTGAACCCGAAACCCTAGACCCTGAACCCTAAAAACCAAAAACCCTAAACCCTAAACCCTAAACCCTAGACCCGAGACCCTAAACCCTAAACCCTAAACCCTAAACCCTAAACCCTAAACCCTAAACCCTAAACCCCCCCTCAAAAAAACTCCAGGCCCTCGCGGCGCCTCTCGTCCACCTGCGGCTCCGGACGTGCGCGCTGCTCGATGGCCTTCCTGAGGGCTTAGGGTTTGGGGTTTGGGGTTTGGGGTTTGGGGTTTGGGGTTTGGGGTTTGGGGTTTGGGGTTTAGGGTTTAGGGTTTAGGGTGCAGGTTTTAGGGTTTAGGGTGCATGTTTTAGGGTTTAGGGGTTAGGGTTTAGGGTTTGGGGGTTCCGTGTGGGGGTTTTGGCTTGTGGCTTTGGGGGTGGTGCAGGGGTTTAGGGATTTAGGGCTTAGGGTTTGGAGGTTTGGGGATATGCATGGCACAGGGTGCCTCCCTGGGTTGAAGAACCAAGCCTCGGCCTGAGATTACATGTAGGGTTTAGGGTTTAGGGTTTAGGGTTTAGGGTTTAGGGTTTAGGGTTTAGGGTTTAGGGTTTAGGGTTTAGGGTTTAGGGTTTAGGGTTTAGGGGAAGCCCTGCACCCTAGGTCGCTCGCAGGTTCCTGCTTCCGCGAGTTCCCTGCCGAGAGCCCTAGACCCTAAACCCTAAACCCTAAACTCCAAAACCTAAACCCTAAACCCTAAACCCTAAACCTAAACCCTAAACCCTAACCCTAACCCCTAAACCCTAAATCGAACCTGCACTCAAGGACCGCGCCACTGGCTGCTGTGGAGGAGGCTCTCGATAGCTGCCTTCAAGTGCGGAGGGCTCGGATGAGGGGAATCAAACCGAACCTGCCCCCGAATAATAAATACCCCTGTTCTAGTTAAAACAATGGTAAGTGGTGATTATTTCATGTTAAGAGATAGGCCGGGGGGGGGGGGGGGAATACTAGGGGAAGAGGATTATGGAGCCTTGTTGGCGCCAATAGCTGAAACGAGCACACCTTCATTTTGTGAGATACTGCAGCATGCAATGATATACGAGAGCATAGAACAATGCACTACAATGCACGATCATAGAGACCCAAAAAGCCCCAGAGTCTACATGAAGCCCCCATGCCTGACTCTCCGTAGAGGCCTTTGCCAGGGGCCTTTGGGCTTTGGGTGCTTCAGGGTTGTTAAGGGAGGGGGGTTCATGGGGGGTAGGTACTTAGGGAACGTTAGGAAACCTTGGGCAGCCTTTTGGAGTAGTAGGGAGTATTCGGGAACCTGGGGTTCTATACCCCCCCTTGAACCCCCCTCCCATAAGAACCCTGTAATTTAGGGTCTAGGATTCAGGTTTGGGGTTTAGGGCCTTTTCGTGTTTTTAGGAGCCATGGGACCTGCTTCTCCAGATAGTGAGACATGAACTCGTCGGGCGCGGTCGGGCTCGTGTGGCCTGTGGAGTTACACAACAACCCCCCTAAACCCTAAACCCTAAACCCTAAACCCTAAACCCTAAAGCCTAAACCCTAAACCCTAAACCCTCAACCCAAGCCGTGTAGACCCTATATAACCCCACAACATACGCAAACGTTCGAATTCAACCCCGTAAGCCCTACAAAAACCAACCTTATGAACCTAGTCCCCGTCACCCTGTATAAGCGCTGCAAGCCCTAGAAGCTCTGTAGACCCTGCAAACGCTGCAAGCACAAGGCACCCCCCCCCCCCCAACCTAAGGGATGAAGAAGGGTACCCAAATTCCCTGATTCCCTAGCATCCCAACCTTCAGCTTCTGCGCCATATGATAGTTTGGGGTTTAGGGTTTAGGGCTCCCTAAAGCCGAAATGGAAACGGGTTGCGGAACCTTTTGAATCCTAGACTCTAAACCATGTTTAGGATTTCGGATTTAGGGATCATGGTATATATAGTTTGAAGTGGGGTTGTAAGCGCCTTCCACAAGGTTCGACACAAGAAAAGGTTGCCGCAGTCATAGACAGGAACCTTGTTCGGGGGTTTCCGAAAATGGGGGTGCCCTTTTTTGGGGCTCGCTTTAAGGGGATTGTATTCTTCTGCTTGGTAGTATAAAAGGGGTACCCCTATTTTGAGAAATACCCATTTGGGGAGCTGCCTAAACCCTAACCCTAAACCCTAAACCCTAGACCCTAAACCCTAAACCCTTAGGGGTCTTGACTTCTTTTCCTCAGGCTTGTTCGCAGACAGCGGGGGTGAGACCTGCGGTTGATGGCTCCTCACAGTTCTTGCATCAAGACCCTGAACCCCGGGCCCTCAACCCTAAACCCTGCACCCTCTGGAACAAAGGAGTCCTCTCACAAAGCCTCTTAGGCCACAAAGTAACATCACACCCAAAGAGCCCAATACCCCTTAATAAGGAACGTACCTTAAATCATATTCAGGATCCCTTTATAAGTTAAGGTATATTCCTTAATTAAGGAGTATTGGGCTCTTTGGGCAGGGCCCAGTAAAGCTCATCAGCCGCATCTACAGATCTGATGACGACGCCAGCTGCGTTTGCAGTGCTCGGGCGGTCGTTGAGCCGTGCAACTCTCCAGGGTTTAGGGTTTAGGGGTTTAGGGTTTAGGGTTTAGGGTTTAGGGTTTGGGGTTTAGGGTTTAGGGTTAGGTGCTTCAGCCTCTTGTGCTGGGCGGAACCGAGGCTCTAGCGCAGCATACGTCAATCAAGATATTACGCTGATTTCCTATGACCTTTCCACCCGCATGGCTATACGAGGGGGTTGCTCTCAAAGAGGACCTCCTTGTTTAGGAAAACACCTTCTAGACCCAAGAGTCGCCTAGGAATAAAAGAGGAAACCGTTTTGGCTTCAAGGGCCCGAAGACGGAACCAAAAAACCCTGGAAAAAGATGATAAAGGGCCTACTCTGGGTCCTAGCCTTCTCTACCCTAAACCCTAAGCCCTAAACCCTAAACCCTAAACCCTACACCCTAAGCCCTAATTCCTGAACCCTAAACCCTAAACCCTAAACCTAAGAATCTCGTGGGAAGCAGGCTCCAAAACAAATGGGACCCCTATCTGGGTTTAGGGTTTAGGGTTTAGGAGGGTTTAGGGTTTAGGGTTTAGGGTTTAGGGTTTACAGACTAACCCTCACTTGCATCAGCGCCTCACAATACCGGCGCCTGGCACGTTCCGCGGGGGGCTTCGAGAGCTTCGGTTGCTAAACCCTAAACCCTAAACCCTAAACTCTAAACCCTTAACCCTTAACCCTAAACCCTAAGCCGACTAGGGTTCAGGGTGCCGATGGGCTTTTTTACTACCACGACTGCTGCTATCTTGGTACTGCGTAGGAATAACCCCTTGATTTGGGGGTTTAGGGTTTAGGGTTTAGGGTTTAGGGTTTAGGGTTTAGGGTTTAGGGTCTAGGGTTAAGATATATACCTCGAGTCATATGATATTAAGGGCCCCTATAGACATTAGGGCATATTCCTTAACTAAGGGGCATTGGGCTTTCTGGGTTCGTGATCCCTTACCAAGGTGCAGGGCCTAATTAGGGTTCCTGCAGCTCTCAGGGGTTACATCTCCCTCTATACCCCCCCCATCACAGCAGAATTCCCCTGAAAAGATATCCCTGTCAGGGGGACACATAGAGGCTTGGCAAGCAGGCAGACCTACTGTGAATCTCCAAACGCCCCCTAAACCCTAAACCTTAAACCCTAAACCCTAAACCCTAAACCCTAAACCGCGGCATCTTGTTTTCAGGTCTTGATTGCACAACACCCTTCTAGGGTTCTTCCGGAACCAACAGCGAGGTCGGCTCTGGTTTCTTCAGATACGCGGGCACTCCGATGCACCATCGGGCTTGAGGATTAGGGTTTGGGGTTTAGGGTTTAGGGCCATTCTAAGAAATCTTCAACATACCCAATTAAGGGGTATGGAAAATTCCTTCCTTATGTTCACCTTTTATAGATTAAGGGGTATGGGTTTAGGGGTTTGTGAATTTATTCTTAGATCCTGAAGCACGAGACCCTAAACCCCAAACCCTTAACTAGGTGAGCCCCCCCCCCCCCCCCGGCCCCAAAAGCCCGAAACCCTAAACCCCCAACCCTAACCCGAAACCCCCAACCCTAAACCCTAAACCCCAAACCCTAAACCCTAAACCTGAAGCCCTCAACCTAAGTAAGGGGTTTTGGAAACCCTAAACCCTAAACCCTAAACGTACTAGAACCATAGATGCCAGTTGCCAGCGACACGAGCTCCCGAACCATGTCCGGTCGGCTGGTGCAGACCAGTGGCGCGTGCTTGCTAACCTCGCGATGGCACCCAACTTTCGGTTGGGGTTTAGGGGTTAGGAGGGTCTAGGGTCTAGGGTCTAGGGTCAAGGGTTTAGGGTTTAGGGTTTAGGGTTAGGGTTTAGGGTATCCTTCGTATCAGGCTGGGACTTAGATTGCAGAGACGGCCTCCAGAGCTACTGCAAAACCATGGTCCCTTCTTGGCCGACCCTATAGTTCTGAGGATCCGTCTTCGAAATATAGGACCCCAAAACCAGACCCTAAACCCTAAACCCTCAACCCTCAACCCTCAACCCTAACCCCTAAGGGAACCTGCCCTTCTCGAGTTTGGAGCCCTGGCAGGGCCAAGAAAGCTGCGTAGGGTTCAGGGTTCAGGGTTCAGGGTTCAGGGTTCAGGGTTTAGGGTCCATTTAGGGTTTAGGGTTTAGGGTTTGGGGTTTAGTTTGCGCGCGCTACCTCCGCTTCCATTTGCCTATGGGTTGACTGCGCGGGTGTTGTGCGTCGAGTGCGCCAGCTTCTTGCGGGCACTTGGTCCCCTGGGGCCAACAGTACCAACATGGACCTCTGGCGGGACGTGGCGCGATTGCTTGACGGTGTTAAATCACGCATACGAGTGTGCAAGGTGCCAGCACATGTGGAAGTCTCAGGAATGGATGACTTGGTGGCCGAATGGGCAGCGCTGAACAACAGCGACGTGGATCATGCGGCCGGCCAAGCACAGTTGTCCAGATCTGTTCAAACCAGACTTCTGTGGGATGAAGTACGGCGGAGTTTCGTTTTGGAGGAGTTGAATGCGCGTTTGGTCCAAATCCTGCATCGCCGAGTTGCTGATTTTGCTCTCCGAGGGCGAAGTGAACAGACAGGCGCGCTGGCGCCGGAAATCGACAACACGGTCCCGAGCGACGGTTTTTCTCTGGGCCAGCTGCCGGTGGTGTGGCCTTCTCGCCCCCGACGTTTTGGGGTGCCGTTCATCACACGCCTTCATGCTTGGCTCCAGGGTCCAAGCCGGGAGGCGTGTGATGCGGCCCTCTGGGTCTCCTTCGTGCAGCTCTATGTCGCCTTCATCCTTGATACTGGAATGATTCCTCCTGTACATGATCGCCGGACGAAACGTTGGGTGCACAGAACTTCGAATGAAATCCAGGTTGCCAATCTTCGCTTCGGGGATCGAGTCAGGTGGTTTAGTGCGACTTTGACTTCCGCCAGTGGTCGAATGGTTGTGAGAGAGGTGAGGCCCCATTGTGCCTCCTTGGCTGTCAAACTCCCTTCCGCATGGATTGCAATCGCCGATCCGTTGCGCCAAAGAGTTGAGGAGATACTGAGTTCGCTATTGCCCACGGGCGTCTGTTTAAAGCAGTCGCGGGTGTGGGCGACTCTTCAGTTCTCGTAGGCTTTCGAGGCTTGCGGCCGCGGCTAAGGTCTGCTTCCGCTCGACGCCGAGGCAGCTCCGCTTATTGAAAGGGTTGAAAGGGTTTGGGGTTTGGGGTTTAGGGTTTAAGGTCTAGGGCTACAGCTGAGGCTCTGAGCGAACCTCCAAGCCAGAAGGTGTCTGGTGTTTCAAGTTTAGGATTTGGGGCTTAGAGTTTGGGATCTCATTGGCTTTCGGGTGTGGGGATTAGGGTTTAGGGTCTAGGGTGTGGGGTTGAGGGTTGATGGTTGAGGGTTTAGGGTTTTAGTGTTTAGGGTTTGGGGTTTAGGGTTTTCTGCGCCTCGTGCGTGTATCTCGGAAGGTCTGGCCGCCCCCAAATCCGCTGAAAAGAGGTCTCCTCCGGTGGCACATCCATGTCGCACCCTACACGCCTAAACCCTAAACCCTAAACCCCCAAACCCGAAACTCTAAGGGTAGTTACATGGTCCCTTAGGTGTGGGCCCTTTTTTGTAGTACCCACCCCTTCTATACCCTTTATCTACCAAGGGCCCATACATCAGAACCCTTTTAAGGAGATATTAAGGGCCCATCAAACTGCACCCCCCAAGGACCTACTATCTTTGCAGGGTGTTTGCGGCCGGGGGAGGGGGGGGGGGGAGGGGGGGGGGGGAGGGGGGGGGGGGAGGGGGGGGGGGGGAGGGGGGGGGGGGAGGGGGGGGGGGGGAGGGGGGGGGGGGGGGAGGGGGGGGGGGGGGGGGGGGGGAGGGGGGGGGGGGCTGCCCTTAACTCCTGCATCCTGCAAACTTCGTGCAGTCACAGTGGCAA